TTCCGTTCACGAAGCTGTTTATCTGATCGCTGACGTGCGCATACCTGAAGCTCCACCTCGTCGTATGAAAGTACGGAATCTCGGTATGATAGATCACCTACGGCTGCAAGCTGATTTCCAGGCAAAGGACCTACAGCACATCTACCAAGAAAAAGACATCGACATCAAAACACAACTTCTCACTAGCGCACTTTATTCGCTTTTGAACCAGCATGCTCCGGAGCGGATAATTAGTGTTCGTGACAAACGCACGCCATGGATAACGAACGAAATCCAATCTGCAATCACCTTAAGGGACCTAGTCTATTCTCTCTATGTGCGAAATCCAAATCGTGTCAGAGGAGATGCTCAATGGCGAGACTACATCTCCAAAAAGAGTAGGGCCGGCACCCTAATTGGTGCTGCTAAGAAACGGTATGCTGATTCGCAGTTTGGCATGGATCTTCCTGCTAAGCAGCTGTGGTGCAACCTGAGGAGAGAAGGCATATACATAACAATACAAAGAAGAATGCGGCCATGGAGGAATTTGATGCTGACCGACTAAATCAGTTCTTTGCTGAAGGCCATCACATGTTACAGCATAGGGCTGTTCCTTCGCAAGCGAACGCAGAATCCGATCGACCACCCGCAAATGTGGCCAGTTCAGGCACCAGGAAAATGTACGAGATTGGGACCAACGCAAAAGGGACGGATGAAGCTGCTCTGCCCGTTTATCCTCCCCCTCCTGACTCACCTGTTCAATGCGATTATCGTGCTCAAACTTTCCCCTCCGTCTGGAAAAAGGCCATCGTTACCCCGATACCGAAATCATCGAACCCTACTTCACCGGAGGACGTCAGGCCCATTAGTGTCCTACCTGCGGTGTCTATGGTATTGGAGAAGATTCTACTGTCGCAAATAACGGATCATCTCGATGTATCCACACCCGCTCTTCTTGCCAAACACCAGTCAGGATACAGGAAAAACCACAGTACCACGACTGCTCTAGTCAAGGTTTCTCACGATATCCTCAACAACTTTGACGATAACAGGTGCACAGTAATGGTTCTTGTCGACTTTTCGTTGGCATTCAACTGTGTCAGACATGGTCTACTTGAAACGAAGCTAAGGAGGGAATTCGGGTTTTCAAACTCCGCGTGTAATTTGATTTCATCTTTCCTAGCGCAGCGAAGCCAGGTTGTAGACCTGGGTGGTACTGCCTCGAATCCCCGGAATCTCACCGACGGTACGCCACAAGGATCCTGTCTGAGCGCCCTGCTGTTTAGCCTATACATCAACAGCCCTGCCTGGTGTGCTAAAATGCGAGTATCACCTCTATGCGGACGACCTCCAAATTTACATATCAGGCCCCGCAAGCGAAATTAACAGGCTCGTCGCTGCAATCAACCAGGATCTCCTCGCTATCGAACGTTGGGCCACTGAGAATCGTCTGTTTCCCAACCCAAAGAAGACGCAATCTATAGTCTTTTGTAGAGATGGGGCCATAATCCCACAAAATGACATCCGCTTCCGTGGAGTGCTTTCCAGACAGATTCGTATGAAGCTCGTCCAAGCTGTGGTGATGCCGTTCTTCGCATACTGCGACGTCGTGTACTACCCAGGACAGTCCACCGCGCTCAAGGCTCAGTTGCATCGATGCTTCAAGTCGTCGGTGAGGTTCGTGTATGGTATCCGAGGGCGTTCGCACCTAAAGGTCGGAACGAGCGAGCTAGATCCTTTGTCCTACCGCATCACACCACAAGTTCCCGAAAAAGTGTTCTAATATTCGGAGCGTCCACCTGGAACGCACAACCACTAGCTACAAGGCAGCAACGGACTCTCACGTCGCTTAAAGCTGATTAGTTCTCTAGGCTAATACCAATAGTAGCTGTCGATTTAAGAAATGTCAAATGTTTAGACTTAGACTTTAATTTCATTCTTAACTTCCCACTAAAATGATTCAAAATGGTTGCTTCCTTGACCTGATTTATGGTTCTGTAACTGACAGGTTTTCGTTATGCTATCAATAAATTACAAATTAATTTTTTTTTTTTATATCTTTATTAAGGAGACTTTTAAAAAAAAATAAATAAAATAAAATTTAAAAAAAAACGGTGAAAAATCGTTGTCATTCACTGTAGACCGTTTTACAATTTTACTACAACGCTCTAAATTTGTAAATTTGCGTGCTGAAGTTTAGTTTCAAGCGTTCATAAAGTATCATTTAGTGATATATCGTGTTTTGTCTGTGTTTGCCTTGAGTGACTCGGTTGACCTTCAATCTAACCTCCAAAATATACGACGCAGCTTCAGTTCCATTGTTCGGTGTCGGTTTTGATTGCCTCCCGGGAGCCCGGTTCTCCGAGTGAGTTCAGATGCTACACTTTCGGCGTGTAGTTCTATTGAGAGATCGGTCCGGTTGGTGAATCTCGCCAGTGTCGGAGATTGCGAGCAATATGAAAGATGCCTCGCTGGATACGCCCAAGCCTGGACGGATGGACAGTTGATGGCCGCAAACTGATCCTGGGGAAAGCACTAGACGCAAACCTCCTCCCAGATGACTATGGCAATGTAAGAAAATTGTGTTCGTTGAAGGAAGTATTACGACAAAGGTGCATCACGAAATGAGATGCAAAGCTTAGAGAAAATCAAAATTACGGAACCTATGGATTGGAGGATCAAATTATCATGGTGAGACCAGTTCAAATACATGTCACAATAAAAAAAAAAAAAAACTACATACGTGCTAGGTTTGGAAAGAATATTTTCGAACCTGGAAGCGTGTATGTAATACCAATATCCATTTGGTAACGGTGATGCATACATGCGGGGCTTATTGTAAATGAAAGTAACCTCGGAATGGGCGTGACTCTCCAGACAATGGGTTGCTTGATCTGGAATAGAGCTATCACTTTCTAATTCCTGGACTAAAGCTGTCTACAATGACCGTAAATGCGACATTGTAGAGAAAGCTCTTCCATAATAACACTGTCGGCCAGTGGGGGTTGGAGTACACGGTTCCCAAGCCCCATCTTGTTGAAATACAACATTTGGCTTAGGACCGTACTGTTTTGATCCACGGAAGAACATACTTACTTAAAATCCCGATGTAGATCTCCGTGTTGACCTTGTCGCCTTCTGGAATGAACACCGGTCCATTTTTTTGCCATCGGAAGCCACCAATCCAAACACCATAACGCTAGTATGATGCTTGGTCAGATACACGTTCTTGTGCTCGTCGGCCACGTCTTTTACCGGAAGAGAACTAATATACCGGTTGGTTCTGGAATTTGATACGGGATCGACGGTAAACATGCTCTCGTCGGTGAACAGGATTACCGGATTTTTTCGCTTAAGTAAGTTCAAGATTTTCTTGCATCGTTCGACTCGTAGCTCCCGGATGCGGTTGGTAATCATGTGAGTTTTTTTGTCCGTGCCCTCGACTTCGCCCCGCAATCTTCCTTTATGATCTTCCGTGCCGTAAAGTCAATGATCCAGTGTTCCTTTGCCATTTTCCATATTGAACGCACTGGATTCACCCGAATCTTCCTTTTGATAGCAGCGATAACCCTCGGAACCCGAGCTGTGGCCACCTTCGCGGATAGTTGTCCTTTCTTTTCTCGGTCTAAAACCCTTTTGACGGTCCACCGGGACACTCCCACGGCGATTGAAATGTCTTTTTGCGACATCTGCGCGTGGGACAAATCACGAATACGCTGCCACTTCGTCATGGTGCAACTGTCAAACTAAGTAAATCATTTTCTTTTATACACAGCCTACTATGAGCCATAGGTTACGTGCATGCAAAGAAAACCAAGGGAACCTTATTTGTACGATGGTGCAAACATTATCACGCATACGGTATATTATTCATGTCAATCTGGATAATTTTGAAGCCTGTTCTTCAGCACGATTAAACCAGCCGCTGGATTAGTGTAGAAATTAAATTAAAAATCACGCGATTTACTGGCACATATTGTAACTTTTTTTTTTATTGATGAGACAATATTGTCGGCTATTTTGAGAATGTGTGAAAGTTTAAAATGTTGATGTGAATTCTGGTATATTTCGAAAACTTGAAATTAATTCAACTCGAAATTTTCTGCGAAACAGCTTCAAAATATTCCGCGAAATTCCACGGAACTCCGTTTCGAGGCGAATAAACGAAAATACTCCCTTACTTTGAAGTGACCACCTACGAAAAAGTGTCAGAGTCACTAAAATTTGTTCGCATTTTATTCAACTGAAATGTACATCTTTAGCAGATTCGGAAAACTTTAATATCCCTCACTAAATGAAACCATTTAACGTGTATCAAGATAACACCATTCATTGTCCTACGCTTCAACCATCGTCCTGCCACCGAATCCACACAACGTCCCACACGCCACATAAAGTGCTAATGTTTATCCTCTCAACAACGTAGTAACACGTTTACAGACATAACAGATTTCTTGCTTGCTGTAAGCGCACTTTAATGGCTCGGGTTATATCTCTTGGAATGACCTCCATCTCTCCGGGGTACGAGGAATGACTTTACGACGACGGGCCACCCAGAGCCAATCGTGGGAGGAAACTTTTCCTATTTGCGATTTCTTGAGGTCAATCAACTTTTGAACCTCCCAACAACGTTGAGCATTAATCCTATGGCTCGCTCGCACGCCACAACAACTAGAAGTTCGATATGGGTTGTAGTCGGGAAAACTTTCCACTTCCAGCTCTATGCCAGCCACCGACACTATGTACTCTATAGAACTCGATGAAAGTTGCCAGCGTAAATTGATATCCGGAACTGTGTGATAAACCGTGTGACAAAATTGGGGTCTGACGGGGTTGGGGTGGGGGAAAGTTTATTCTCTCCACGTTGCCACTATGTAATGGAGTTTTGAAAACATCAAGTCAAAGCCAGGCAGCGACTCGATTCCGACATGCTTGCAGCTCTGAACAAAAGTTAGTGCTGTTTGAAATTAGTTTTCTAACCGGAGTGTTTTCTTTGTTTCGTTTCCCATTTTCTAATACAGGATATTATATCGTACAATGACCAGCCATATTGTTTACGAACTGATTTACACAATGGTGCTTTTAAAAGGTGAGTTTAATGTTCCGAATTGTCATTTGTAAAAACATTAACGCCCGTCTCTCTCCGTCCCTGCAGAATGCAATTTACTACTTAAGGAAACCACGGGATCTCTCGACTCCGGCAAGCTGCCGGCGGAGTACGATGACTGTAGAATAGGCTTCCCCTCGCAATTGGAGGATCAGCAGCAGCAGCAGCAGCAATCGCCACCGGGTCTGGTGGTACAACTAACGAGGCTCAACATACCCTGCCGAGTGGACGGCGGCTATCTCAAATTTCTCGAACATTCCATCTCTGGCGGTAGTGTAGATGGAGTAGGTGATGCTGCGGTGAAGAGCATCGGTGATCGTGCGCTGAACGGTGAGCCGTGGCAGCCGGACGGCGAACGAAGTGTGCTCTGTGGCAAGCTCGAAGAACTGCCCAAACACGAACGGACGTTCTACTTTCAGAGGCACCGGAATACCAGTGTCGTGGTGCATAACCGGGCGGTGTTTAGTTTTAACTTTAGGCTAGTGGATTACTGTTACAATGTAACGTTGAGTGATAGGAACAGTTCGGTGCTACTGAGGCCTTTGCGAGGTCTCGACTGTCGCTTCAAGATACATCTGCCGTACGGAAACCGGGTCCGGCTACGACTTCTGACCAATGGAGCGGAGGAGTCTGTCAATTCTACAACCGCGATCAATCACGAAGAGGTAGATCTGAGCATGGCCCACAGCGGTGACAGCTACGGTCTACAGTGCTATGGTGGACTTCGTTTTGAAGTCTACGAACAACCACAGAATCGGTGGGCTCGCTGCATAGATAGCTACAGTACGGCAACCATCTACACGTTGCTTTCCAGTGATAATAGTTTAGTTATTCAAATCAACAAGAACCCACTGCTGGCAGCCTTGGAAGCCGCCGCGGAGGCAAACGATAGCAGTAGTTCCAGCGGTAGTAGCAGTAGCAAACCAGTGCCATCACTACTCATCGAATACAGTACGCATCCGATTGAGAACGTCATCTCACAATGTGCCTTCGGATGGGTCGCGAGCAATCAATTCTGCATCGCTCCGTTTGAAAGTCAGCGACTCAGCTGGATGGAAGCCGAACGGGAGTGCAACCACCGGGGAGGTCACCTTGCCTCGATCCGATCGGTTGCCGACCAGATGCTGGTCGATCAACTATTGCTCAAGAGTCCCGGCTATAGGGACGGGAACGCCTACTGGATAGGAGCATCGGATCGGATGCTCGAGGGAGACTTCCGGTGGAGTGACAATCTACCGTTTACGTATACTAGTGAGATCTCGGTTGACGATCGTGCTCAGGGTAGAATACTGAGGATTTCTATTTTACAATTTCAGATTGGTTTCCTGGCTGGATTCAACAGGAGAACTACAACCGACAGCCAAACGACGACGGTCTAAGCAGTCAGGACTGCGTGGAGATTCGACGGCAGTTCCAGACTCCTCCGGGGACGTCGTTGAACGTTAATCCGCTGGCGATGTCGTACATGTGGAACGATCGAGACTGCGACACGAGAAACTTCTTTCTCTGTGAACGAGTGGGCGTTGAAGGTAAGGGCTCTGATTGATCTGTTTTATTTCACAGTGATTCTGACCATGTTTTTGAATTTGCAGAAGTGCTGGAGAAGACCTGGCACGACGATTGCAACAAGACGATCGCTCTGACGATGGATCGCCCGAAGGCCACCATCTGGAGTCCGGGGTTTCCGAGGCCTTATCCGGACAACGTAAACTGCCTGACAATGATCACTGCCCCACCCGGTTATCGGATAGTGGTAGACTTTGAGGAGCTAGTTCTTGAAAACGAACCACTGTAGGTTTCTCAAGCCATCGGAAAACAAAAACAATGTCCTAACCCGTACTCCCCCTTCCCAAAACAGGTGCACTTACGACTATCTCCAAATTCTGGAGCCGCCGGTCAACTTTTCCGCCGCCTACAGCAAACCTTCCCGCTCCTTCGGAGGAGTTCCGCTCTTCCAGACGCGCAATCCGCGGCACAGCACAAGTCGCTACTACGTTCGCCGACGCAAGTCCAGCGTGGACCTCAGCGATCGGCTCATGTCGACCTTTACCAGCAAAACGCCGAACCTGATTCTCCAACCGGAGGACCCCAGCTACGATCTGCGGATTCCACCACCGGACCTGTACTCGGGTCGCGTCCCGCGCAAGGTCTGCGGCGACTGGAGCTCAAAGCTGAAGCTCCTCCGGCACGTCACCAAGGGGCCGATGTTGGCGTTGCGCTTCGTGTCCGACTACTCCAACCACTACGGTGGCTACAAGGCCAAAGTTGCCATGGAAAACGGTGAGTTGAAGTTTGCTGACCTTGCTCGATGGCTATGTTTCATTCTGTCCCACTTCACTCAATCACTCACTAACTCACCTGTGAACTGTGATGCATTCGAGTTTCCTACAATCCTGTCTACTTATTGAGTGTCTACTATCTATATTTGTACTTTCTTGCTGTTGAACAACCTTTCTGAACACCGCGTGAGATGCACACTGTTTGGCTCTCTACTAGTGAGTGTTTGTGTGTGTGTGTGCGCGTGTGTTTGTTTCCTGCGAGTGAGAGATGTTTATTTGTTCACTGTATAAGGTGTTTGGAACAAACTCACTACTGTCAGTAAGGTGGTGCTTTGCTGAAGTCTGACGGTAAGCGATGGATGGTGCTTGCTTTTGCTGTTGACGGCGGTTATCAACGGGACCCAAGTGGAAAATATCACAATTGCATTCAAATAGTATACAGTCTACAGATAGCTTCACAATAGAGACTTTCTCCGAGTTGTATGAAACTTTGCGTAATTGTTTTTTTTTTTTGTGAAAAATTCGGTAATTTTGGATCTTGTAAAATATTCAAAATGGCGGCCCTGAAATTTTTCAAAAAATTTTAGCGCAGAAACGGCATTTCTGATCGAAATGACGTCTTAGAAAAAGCTGTATTTCTGGGGAAAATAAACTAAACTTGTTTTTATTTAGTTTTAGTCAAAATTTATAACCAAATGTTATAAACCAAAATATCTTTGTTTTTTCAATAACAAATCTTATGCGAAAAGGCAGTCTATTGGACACTTGAAGACTGGCAATAAGTCGTTAAACGTGAACTTTTTCTCTGACGTCCAAGACGTCATATGGAAAATTTTACAAGATCCAATGTGGTCAAATTTTAGCATAAATGTGAATTATTGCCCATAACAAATAATTAACCTTTATGAAAACCGGAGAATGTCTAGTTTTTTCCGATCAGTCATTTGTCGTGGAACTGCTTAATGGATTTTGCATTCAGCTAAATTGCGGCTAAGTTCAGATCTACGACTATTTCATCCTTACGACAATTCCCTTAAAACGACCTATTTCCACTTTGATTTTCAGTCTGCGGTCACAGCAATCCAGTTCAAATGAATTATTTCTAGATAGAGCTGGAATTAGGGCGTCACAGCTTTTGTAAACAATGACTTCTCTCGATGATTTCTCGGAAGCTATGGCTCTCCCTGGCAAATCAACATCACCATCGAGTAGAGGAAGACTTCTCCTTCCCGATGGATGTATTGGTTTGTGTAGGCGTGCCTTGAATTCCGAGAAATCAACGAGAGAAGTCATTGTTTACAAAGGCTGTTACGCCCGTCTTGATCGTCTATAGCCTCAACGTTGTTTGGTACGCACGTTCCCGACATTTCAAAACATCTTTTGAGCATCGTAAAGCTTCATGGTAATATGCGCATTATTGACCGGTAACAGTAAGATATTTAATGCACTCCAAACTATTCTGGAGTTAAGATCTTGAAGTTCTACAGGCTCAATGAAAGTCTTGAATAATGTACTGAAAATTTGTATGAGTCCATGAAGCTCAAGAGAGCCTCTTGACAACATGGAATGGTATCAATAAGATATTTAATGTTTTCCAAACCATTCTGGAGTTTAGATCTTGAAGTTCTACACACTCAATGTGGTCTTGAACAAAATCCTGAAAGTTTGTATGATTCCATGAAATTCAAGGGAGCCATTTAAAAACATAAACCGAATGGTATCAATAAGATTTTTCAAATACTCTCCAAATTATTTTGGAGCTAAGATCTTGAAATTCTACAGGCTCAATGAAAGTCTTGAGCAATCTACTGGCCATTTGTATGAAACCATGAAGCTCAAGAGAGCCTCTTGATAACATGAAATGGTATGAGTAGGACATTGAATTCTTTCCAAACTATTCTGGAGCTAAGATCTTGAAGTTCTACAGACTCAATGAAAGTCTTGAACAATGTCCTAAATTGTTTTATGAGTCCATGAAATCCAAGAGAGCCTTTTAAAATCATGCACATCATCGAATGGTATCTATAAGATATTTAATGCATTCCAAACTATTCTGGAGCTAAGATCTTGAAGTTCTACAGGCTCAATGAAAGCCTTGAACAATGTCCTAAATTGTTTTATGAGTCCATGAAATCCAAGAGAGCCTTTTAAAATCATGCACATCATCGAATGGTATCAATTAGATATTTAATGCATTACAAACTATTCTGGAGCTAGGATCTTGAAATTCTGCAGGCTCAATGAAATCTTCAACAATGTACTGAAAATTTGTATGAGTCCATGAAGCTTGAAAGAGCCTCTTGGCAACATGGAATGTTATCAATAAAATATTTAATGATTTCCAAACAATTCTGGAGTTCAGATCTTGAAGTTCTACACACTCAATGTGGTCTTGAACAATATCCTGAAAATCTTTATGATGCCATGAAATTCAAGGGAGCCTTTTAGAACCATAACCATCATCGAATATTATCAATAAGATTTTTCAAATACTCTCCAAACTATTTTGGAGCTAAGATCTTGAAGTTCTACAGGCTCAATGAAAGTATTGAGCAATCTACTGAACATTTGTATGAAACCATGAAGCTCAAGAGAGCCTCTTTATAACATAGAATTGTATAAATAGGATATTTAATGATTTCCAAACCATTCTGGAGTTATAATCTTAAAGTTCTACAGATTCAATGAAGTCTTGAACAATGTCCTGAAATTTTGTATAAGTCCATGAAATTCAAGATGGCCTTTTAAAAACATACACATCATCGAATGGCATCAATAAACTTTTTAATAATCTACAAATTAATGGGGAGCTAAGATCTTGAAGTTCTACAGGCTCAATGAAAATCTTGAACAATGTCCTAAATTGTTTTATGAGTCCATGAAATCCAAGAGAGCCTTTTAAAATCATGCACATCATCGAACGGTATCAATAAGATATTTAATGCTTTCCAAACTATTCTGGAGCTAAGATCTTGAAGTTCTACAGGCTCAATGAAAGTCTTGAACAATCTACTGACCATTGTATAAAACCATGAAGATCGAGAGAGCCTCTTGACAACATGGACTGGTATCAATAAGATATTGAATGATTTACAAACCATTTTGAAGCTATGATCTTGAAGTTCTACAGACTCAATGTAGTCTTGAACAATGTCCTGAAATTTTGTATGAGTCCATGAAATTCAAGAGAGCCTTTTACAAACATGCACATCATCGAATGGTATCAATAAGATTTTTTCAATACTCTCCAAACTATTCTGGAGCTAAGATCTTGAAGTTCTACATGCTCAATAGAAGTCTTGAACAATGTACGGAAAATTTGTATGAGTCCATGAAGCTCAAGAGAGCCTCTTGATTACATGCGTATTATGGATTGGTATGAACAAGATATTTAATGCATTCCAAACTATTCTGGAGATCAGAGCTTGAAGTTCTACCGACTGAAGTCTTAAATCTGTATGAGTCCGTGAAGCTCAAGAGAGCCTCTTGACAACATGCACATCATGGATTGGTATCAATAAGATTTTTAATACTCTCCAAACTATTCTGGAGCTTAGATCTTGAAGTTCTACAGACTCAATGACAGTCTTTAACTGAATGTACTGAAAATCTGTATGAGTCCATGAAACTCAAGAGAGAGTTTGATAAGATGTTCATTATGGAATGGTACCAATAAGAATGTTAATACTCTCCAAACTATTCTGGAGCTAGGATCTTGAAGTTCTTAAGGCTTAATGGAAGTCTTGAACAATGTACTGAAAATCTGTATGAGTCCATGAACCTTAAGAGAGCCTTTTGATAAGATGCTCATTATGGCATGGAATCAATAAGATATTTGATGCTTTCCAAACCATTCTGGAGTGCAGTTCTTGGAGTTTTACAGACTCCATGAAGCCTTAAACAATGTCCTGAAATTGGTCATGAGTCCGTGAAGCCCAAGAGAGCTTCTTGACAATATACACATCATGGATTGGTATCAATAAGATTTTCAATACACTACAAACTATTCTGGAGCTAAGATCTTGAAGTTCTACATACTGAATGAAATCGTGAACAAGGTCCTGAACTTTTTTATGAGTCCATGAAACTCACGAGAGCCTTTTGATAAGATGCTCATTAAGGAATGGTATCAATGAAAAATTTAATACTCTCCAAACTAATCTGGAGCTAAGATTTTGAAGTTGTACATACTCAATGGAAGTCTTGAACAATGTTCTGAAAATCTGTATAAGTCCATGAAACTCAAGAGGGAGTTTTGATAAGATGCTCATTATGGAATGGAATCAATAAGATATTTGATGCTTTCCAAAGCATTCTGCAGTGCAGTTATTGAAGTTTTACAGACTCCATGAAGCCTTAAACAATGTCCTGAAATTGGTTATGAGTCTGTGAAGCCCAAGAGAGCCTCTTGACAACATGCACATAATGGATTGGTATCAATAAGATTATCAATACACTTCAAACTCTTCTGGAGCTAAGATCTTGAAGTTCTACAGACTGAATGAAATCTTGAACAAAGTCCTGATTTTTTTATGCGTCCATAAAGATCAAGAGAGTATCTTGACAAAATGCACATTATAGAATGGTATCAGTAAGATATTTAATGCTTTCCAAACCATTCTGGAGGGCAGTTCTTGGAGTTTTACAGACTCCATGAAACCTTAAACAATGTCCTGAAATTGGTTATGAGTTCATGAAGCTGAAGAGAGCCTCTTGACAACATGCACATCATGGATTGGTATCAATACGATTTTCAATACACTCCAAACTATTCTGGAGCTAAGATCCTGAAGTTCTACATACTGAATGAAATCTTGAACAATATCCAGAACTTTTTTATGAGTCCATGAAACTCCCGAGAGCCTTTTGATAAGATGCTCATTAAGGAATGGTATCAATACAAAATTTAATACTCTCCAAACTAATCTGGTGCTAAGATCTTGAAGTTCTACAGACTCAATGGAAGTCTTTAACAATGTTCTGAAAATCTGTATGAGTCCA